TTTAGTGTAACACTAAGAACATGCTAAAAATATGAAGGAAAATACTATAATTGTTGAAAACTTGCATGTAACTGCCTCTGTGATGTGAGAAATATGGCTGTTTTTTTTTTAACAACTACTACATGGTACTATATGATTTTTAAGCCATTAATATATGCATTACTGTCACAAGATGAATATACCATTAAATAATAATACTATGAGGTCTATGAGTATCAGTGGTAGAGTACTTGCCTAGCATATTAAAGGTCCTAGCACTCCCAAAACTATATCATTAAAAAGGATGAAATAGAGAGCCGGGAGCAGTGGCGTATGCTGGTAAGTTCATCAACTCCAGAGATTGAGGCAGGAGGGTCTTAAGTTTGAGGCCACTCTCAGCAACTTAGTGGAGACCCTGTCTCAAAATATGAAATAAAAAGGGCTGGAATGTAGCCCAGTGATAGAGTACGCCTGGGTTCAAACCTCAGGACAATTAAAAATAAAAAAGAATAAGGTAAATACATAGGAACAGTTTTTAGAATACATTAAACCAAAACCAAAAAAGGGAGTGCTAAACAAGATGAATAGTATCACATTTTTGTTTAAAAAGCTGTCTACAATAGGTACACATACAACACTATAAATTCATAGAGAAAAGTCTAGAAGGCCACCCATCATATTCTGAAGGGAAAATGGGATTAGGATGGAGGAGGAGTGGTGTTAATGGGGGCCTTTCACTTTTTAAAAAAATATACTTCTATATTAATCTTTTAAAACAAAGATTTTTATAAAATTTTTTTAATGATAGAAATGTTTATAATATATTGTTATAGAAAAAACAGTTATAAAGTAAGATATTTGGTATGATCCCCACCATGTTTTTTTAAAAAAATGTAGCTTCCAAACATTTTTAAAAAATATATAGAGCCCTTTTATTTCAAATGGAATATTACCCAAGCACAGTGGAAATTAATGTGCTCTAAATAAAATAAAAGCAGGGACCAGTACTCTAGTTCAATGGCAGAGCACTTGACTAGCATGTGCAAGGCCTTCTAGGTATCCTGAAGCATTCTTAGGGTTCCAGGCAGGACAATTTGAAAACAACTACTATTATCATAAAAAAAGAAAGAAGGTAAAACTTAAGAAAATGACTTCTCTGAGATGGTAGGAGATTCTGAGTGATTTTCTTCTGCTTTTGTTTTTAATTTTGTTTTGTTTTAGTTGTAGTTGGACAAAATACCTTTATTTTATTTATTTATTTTTATGTGGTGCTGAGGATTGAACCCAGTACCTCGTATGAGCTAGGCAAATGCTCTATTGCTGAGCCACAACTTCAGCCCTTTTCTTCTGCTTTTGTATTATGTATGTTTGTGTGTGTGTGTGTGTGTGTGTATGCCTTTTCTATGAATTGTAAAAATTTAAATAATAATATCTGTTATTTGAACATGTCTAAATAACCACCAAACCATGATTTATTTGCAAGAGTGAGGGCAGAAATGGTAATAGAGTTTTATTAATCTAAGTTATTATTCTACATTTGTATTATCTATATCTTAGATTGACTTTAATCATTCATATTTTCCAGTAAATTTTCTATTTTCATACTTTTCAAATTTATCAAGTTGAAAATATTTTGTTCTTTTCAAAAATTCAATTTTTAAAAAAGTCTTGATTTCAGTTTTACATTAACAATGTTTCCTAGTAAATTAAATTATAATATCTTTTTCAATTTTGGATTTTTTATTGATATTCTTTTTCTAGGTTCTTAAATTGAAACTTCAGTTCACCCAGTCACTAAACTGCCACCCAGGGCTCAGCAGCCTCTCCCTTGAGCTACCTCGCCTTCCTGAAGTTCAGTCCCCCGCCTTCTCTTGCAGCTGCCTTCCACAGGCAGTTTCCACTGAGGAAAAGGAATCCAATTATATGTCCACTATCCAGAACCTCCACTCTTTCGACCCCTTTGCTGATGCAAGTAAGGGTGATGACTAGCTTCCTGCTTGCACTGGGGATTACATCCATGTACGAATTCAACACAGAAATGGCAGGAAGACCCAACTACCGTTCGAGGGATCACTGAGAATTACAATAAAAACAAACTAGAGAAAGCATTTAAGAAGAAAATTGCCTGCAATTACTGTAATTGAGCATCCAAAACATGGAAACATAATTCAGCTACAGGGGCAAGAACATATGCCAGTTCCTGGTAGAGATTGGATCAGCTGAAGATTCATGGGTTTTAAGTGCTTATGGCTCACTGCAGCCTAAGTGAGGATTTCCTTGCAACAAGTAGAATTTCCCTTCTGTTCCTTGTCTCAAGTTTAAAACCCTCAGAGTTAGTATAATGCAGCCATTTGGGGTCCACTTTTAACTTGGACTAGTGTAACTCCTTCATGCAATAAACTGAAAAGAGCTTGGGGGGGCAGTGAGGGGCGACACAAAACTTAAATTCATTATTTTTACAAAAGCATTCAAAAGCAATGAAATTTTGCCTGAATATGGTTTTAGCCACATCCCTTATGTATTTGTTGTTTAGTGTTCTCATTATTATTAATTTCTAAACTAAACAATATTCAATTTTAATTTTTTATTCTGTTTGACCCCAGCACTATTTCAAGTACAGCAATATTTTTAAACCTGTTATTATTAATTTCTAGTCTTATTTTATATCAGTAGAAGATAGGGACCTATAAAAGTTTAACTTATTCTATTTTGAAAATTTCAGAGTAATCTAGTATCTGATCAATTTTTATAAATGTTCCATGTTAATTGAAAATTATCCTTTAATAGCCTTTTGCTACTTTTAAAATTGTATCTGCACTTTTTGAAGGATTCTTTCTGGGTACCTCCACTGTTTATACTAAACTGATGGATAAGTATCAGTGATCATCTCCTTGACATTGCAAAAGTTCTCAAATTTTCTAGTTCATAGTGGCTCCCTCTATCATTATGGGAAGACTGTTCTCCTTAATTTTATACTTCTTTTATTATATCAATAAAATTTTAAAGTGAAGGTTAAAAATCATGGGCCCAAAGTATAGCATAGTATGTGTTATGGTCTGGATATGAGGTATCCTCCAAAAGCAGGGATATTCAGAGGTCCATCCTAGTTTGAGTGGAATTGAACTAGATCTCTGAAAATAAACTTTTCATCCCATAAGTGTCTTGTCAGGTATTTTGGACACAGTGACACAAAAAAGCTAACAGTATATAGAAGCTCAGTCTTGAAAATCAAAAAGATTAAGTTTGAATTCTGATTCTATCAATTCTTTGTTATAGGTCATTGAATATGTTACTTAAATTTTTAGGGCTTCTGTTTTCTTATATAAAATGAAAATAATTGTGGTAGTTACCATCTAAGCTTAATAAGAAAGGTAAATGGGAAAATGTACTGCACGTTATCGGACAACAGGAGAATTCAATAAACATTAGCCATTGGAGTTGCAATGGGAACTCTGATATGAACTTTTAATTACCTAATGTGAAAAAAAAATACCCACGTTCCATCCACCTCTTTGCTATCAAAGATACACTCAAAAGAATTTGAAGCGGGGATTCAGATATTAGTACACCAGCGTTCGAAGTAGAATTATTCACAATAACAAAGTGGTGGGATCAATCCAAATGTCTATCAATGGATGAACAGATAAACAAAATGTGGGTATACATACACAGTGCAGTTTCATTCAGCCTTTAAAAGGAAGGCTGTTCTGACAATGCAACAACATGGATGAACTCAGAAGATCTCGCACTAAGTGAAATAAGCCAGGCACAAAAGGCAAGTGTTGTACAATTTCATTTCCGCATGCCATTTAAGAGTTGTCAAGAGCTGGGGAGAGGGAGGGAACAGGGAGTTGTTCACTGGGTACAGAGCATCAGTTCTGCAAGATAAAAAGTTCTGGAGATGGACATATTGCACAACAGCATGAATACACTTAAAACTACTGAGCTGTACACTTAAAGGTGGTTAAAATGGTAAATTTTATGTTATGTATATTTTACCACAATTGTTAAAAAAGAACCAAGTACCTCAGTGGCTACTCTATATTTGATCACACACAGTACTATTTACAATCATAGTAAAACATTTTGAAAACATGCCTTGAGGCTTAACATGTCACTGAATTTGTTCAGAGGGCAGATATGGACCATCTGCTCTTGCACTTTAATCTACTGCTCCTAAGCCCTCAGGGGGCGAAGATAGGAGCCCCTCATGCTTTACCCACTACACTTTTATTCTCTGAAAAGTGAATTACACAAGGGTAAGAAGCAGAAGTGCAATTCTACTTGAAGTAATCTACTCTTTTAAAATAAAGAAACCTTTACATGAAATTTTATTCATATGGAAACATTTCATTTGCGATAGAAAGGAGAAATGATGTAAGTGTACAACAGTGAGAAATGATAAGTAAATATAAACAGTGAGAAATGATAAGCAAATGGAATATCATGTAGTGAATAAAAATGATTCTTATGAATGAAATGAGAAAGACACTCATGTAATAAGTGATTTAACTATGTAAAAACATATTCTAAAAAGACTACAATGAGATATTGACACATTAATAGGTGATTTACCTTTGAGACATATGAGGAACATCTCTCCTTGTCTTTTTACTTTCTATATTTTCAACATTTTGCTTTTATAATACATTTTTCCTATTATATTTGTTTTTATAATGCCTTATTTTTTCCTTTGTATCAGGGATTGAAGCCAGGGGCACTTAACTACTGAGCCACATCCACAGCCCTCACCCATTGCCTTTTTTTTGTTTTTTGACACAAAGTCTCACTAAGTTGCTTAGGGCCTCGCTAAGTTGCTGAAGCTGGCTTTAAACATGTGATCCTCCTGCCTCAGCCTCCCAAGCCACAGACATTACAGGTTGTACCACTCTGCTAATGCATTCTTTTAAAAAACCATAAAAATGACAATTTCACAATTACATTCTAAAATAATCCTTTAATTTAAAAAATAAGTAGAAAACAAAGAATATAAATTTAACATTTTCTTCCCAAGTACTCACATTTTCAGGTATGCTGGGAAGTTCTCTGGTATCAGGCACAGTAAAGTAAGAATGCTGGAAAAGAAAAGCACAAGCTCTGTATTTTTGTAAGAATGTATAACTATATAACAAGCACACTGCTCAGAATTCAAGTATATGATTGAAAGATACTTCCTTACTCATAAGAGGAGACAGAGTTTGACTCATAGGGAATATCTATGAATTTTATTTTTAGGATAATGTTACATTAAATCAGATACATGAAATTTTGAGTTTGGTAGAAAAGTTCTTTTCTAGGAGAGATGAACTTCTTTGTGGTCTATAAATGAAAAAGTTAAAGGTTAAATTCCCATGTAATATTTATAGGTTCCTAAACACACAAAAGTTGCAGGTTTCAAAATTTATTGCTCAGAGACAAGAGGACTCTAGGGGCCAAATCACATTAGTTGTACTCAGCCTTGGTCTTCATCAACCAGACCTGCTGTTTCATTTCAACAGCCGAGGTTACAGCCATCTATAAACTGTGGCCAAAATCTGCACTGAAGAACCAGTGATGTTAAGAACAACTCCAGCTCAAGGGCTACTCTGCTGAGACCACTGCAAATGGCTGAGAGTGGAGAATCTGTCCACTTAAGCACACTCCACAAAGAAGCCTACTGCCTTCCAGTGGGATTGCCAGTGAAGGTGGCTAGAGACTCAGCAGAACTGAAAAACTCTGAATGGGACATCTCCATGTATATAACAAGTGTGTCTCTGAGTTAAATGACAACAGGCTGAACTGATGACACTGCCTCTGCTGCTCTTAAAGACTCAGAACAATAGCAAGTAAGAATGGAAAAAGCCTGGTGCTAGTCAATTAAAGATGGGAACTATGAAAGGCTAGAAAAGGTCACATGCAGAGAGGGTCAATTTAACCATGGTCTAAGTTCAAATTTAGACCTGGACCCCCAAGTGACATTTCAGAAAGTCCTCCCCCAAACCTTTATTCCTAGGTAACTGCAAAATAATTGTCTCTAGAACAATGATTTGTATTTTCTGAAATGAAATGCCCTAGGGACAATTGTAACAATGACAATGACAACAATAACAGTATGAGCTACTTGTCTAATATTTAGCAGAAATTTATTGAACACATACTAGACGGAAGACTTTATGTCAGATAGTATAAATATAATATTATCTCTAACTCCATAATAAATTTTAAGTATATATTATCTACTTTTTACAAGTGGATAAATTAATGTTCAAAGAGGTAGGTAATTCATCTAAGATCTCACAGTTAATATGTGGCAAAACCAGAACTGAAGCCAGATCCATATAATTAGAGCTATACCCTTTCCGCTGTAACAAACAGTTATACTTGTGCTTTTTATGTGCAAATTATGCCTAATGGAACTTGAATTAAAATAAAAAAGTTAAAAGTAAAAATAAAGTGTTATAAAAATATTTTTAAAAACATCCTGCAATGCATTATTCCAAAATCTGTGTGTCTATGCCAAAATGTTACCTATGAAGTACAATAGATGGTGCAGCATGGAAACTTGTCAACAATTAATTCAACTTAACATGAGGATTAAAATGAGAAAAACAAAATACAAGGCTCAAAATAACTCCATGAAATACCAACTTCTATACCAAATGGCTAAGAAGGGAGCATCAGGAAATGTACAGCACCAAATGTACATACAGTGATAGAATCATCAATTAATGGCTTGGCACAGTGAGAAAACTCTTGTCCACTTAGTAGGTATGTGAGCTCAGGCAACTTTACTTAGTAACAGAGAACCTCAGTTTTAGAATCTATAAATGGGAATTATTATATCGATTTTGAAGTAGTTGTAAAGAACAAACATTGTATATATGAAGTATCTAGCACTCAATAAATAGTATTTTAACATAAAATGATAATTGCTCCCAACTGCTATTTCTATTTTTCTCAAGAACCTATATCAGACACATGGACACATGGAAATATTCTTTTGTAGAGAGCAACTAAAAATCAAAATTCCAAGAATGACATTTTATTAACATTTGAGATGTATAACCTAGATAAGAGTAGCCCTTCAAAATCAGAAAAGCAATTTAGAAAGAGGAATTCCTAGTGAAGAAGAAAAAAGAAAAACCTGCCTATGCAAATGCAATGGATTGTAAATTTGGTTGCAATTCCAAAACCCAGTAGTGCCCAGGCTGTCCTTTGAGATTCTATCTTGCTCCATTGCCCATGAAATGCTGGGGACCAAGGGAGGTCAGAAACATTCCTAGAATCCACTCACATGAAACAGATGCACACCCCAACAGTTTCTCCTGCCCCCGAGATGGCTTGTCCTTGAGGCCTGGCAGCATGCCGCTTGTGCAACCATTTGGGGGAAGAAGTGGCCCTTCCTCCCCAGCAGCTGGTGACCCAGCTGGGCTACTCTACAGCTACCTGTCGGATGTCATTACAGACTGAAGCAGTGAGATCAAGCTGCTTAGGAAAAGGGAGAGAGAGACAAAGGCAGGGCTGCTTAGCTTTAGCAATGACTTGGGCAGGTCTAAAGACCATTTGTTCATTTTTTTCTAGACACTTCCATCTGACTTACAAGAATTTTTGTAATAAGGTATCTTCCTGTGCTCGAATAAAATGAGTAAAAACCTCTATAAATCCCTTCAACCCTCCCTCCTCTCCTCTTACAACAAACGTGGCATAGTGGAAAGGGCACTGGCTTTGAAAATTAGCCCTGGGTTGAAAATTCAAATTTTATCATTTCTAAACCACAAGACTTTAATGTGTAAGTAACCTTTCCTTTCTAAAGCTTTTGTCTATGAAATGAAAATGTTAGTACCTATTTTGTGGCAGTGTTTTGCATATTAGGGATACAGATTTAGTATAAATTAGAAACTTAACTTAACAACAACTTTATTAGTTATTGATAGTAATATGGTTTCCAATTTTATCATGATTCTGAAAAAAAAAAATATAGGGAAATCATTAGCTTTCCTTAGACAATTTCCTAACCACTGAATACCAACACTGTATGTAGTTCTAATGAAGTTGGAAAGTAAATACTTCTTGGGCCAATACTTCCTATGACACAGGGGAAATAGCTTCTGGATAATAATCAATACTTGGCCAAAGGAAATTTCAATGAACTTAGAGACAAGGGCTCAACCTATGGAATTGGAGAATTCCAGTAACTGAAATATGAAAATGATCCCTTACACCTCTTAGGATGCCATACATGATAGATGAAGACATTGAGGCTCACAAAATTAAAGGTACTGATTAATTTCACTAGGTCACTAGAAAAATAGTTTACAAGGATTGAAATCTTCTTAGTAGATAGTTCACAGGATTTTCCATTCTAGCACACTGCAAAACATGCATATATTTAAAAGCAATCAAAATGCTAGGCATGATAGTTCATGCTTGTAATCCCATTTACTTAGAAGGCTGAGGCAGGAGAATTTCAAATTTAAGGTCAGCCTGGGTAATTTTGTGAAACCCAGTCTCAAAACTAGGGCTGGGAATGTAGCTCAGTGGTAGAACACTTGCCCAGCATGGATTCAATCCCTGGTAGCTAAGGGTGGTGGGGGGATCATTAAAAGAAATGATTACCACTGTAGGCCAGAAACTCTCCCTCTGTCCTCAAGGGATGCTCAGTCCAGTGAGGGAGAAAAGAAAATAGATCATTCCAATACAGTGGAGGTATGCACTGCAAAGTGTGCCAGATGCTTAGGGCAAAGGAGAAAGCTTTAGCCTCAGCCTGCAAAGTCAAGGAAGAATTTCTCTGGAAATAAATCAGAATTGATTATGAAGGATATGTGTGGTCTACCAGGCAAATAGGGGAGAGGTGTTGTTGAAGGCTGAGAGTGTAGGGTGGCCTTCAACAAGAGGAAATGTGCAGCATTTAGCCAGGGGCTAAAGTTGCAGTCAGGGGCCAGTCATCTTATTTGGCCCAGCATCTGCAATCGAGAAGATGCTGGTGAAGGAGTGATGTTCAGAGAATAGCCCCAGGACACTGGGACACTCGGTGTCTTGTGAAATCTAAGAGAAAGGAAGAAATTCAACCTCCTGGTTTTCCTCGAAGCCTAGAGGTTTCTGAGTATTCTCAGAGTAGGAGTTGGGGAGGCACAGAAGAGAAAAGACAATCTTCTTGGCCCAAATCCCCCTGACTGTTCATAACGAAATGCCGTCTCAGGGATACCTGCTATTCTGCTCCACTTACCACACTGAGATGAACAGACACTCCGGGGTCAGGGATGGGAAGTCTGTGCAGAGTTTCAAGAAGTTCATTCCACTGACTTTCCTGGAAGAAATAAAAGGCCTAAGTAACAAAAGCAAAGCTGAGTCCTTAGTATATCTTAGTATACCTACAGAATATCTGGGCACACATGAGCTGGGCCTTCATGGCTGAGGGGGAGATGCTGGCCCCAGAACAGGAATAGGTTTGATATTCAAGCAGGATTGGGCTAAAGACACTGCGTATGGCTCAAACATAGGAGCCAAATGAATCCTCCTACATTGAGTTTGACATTTTCTACTCAGTGAGACACCTACTATGACCGCCTTTTATGGATCATATACCATAAGCTCTCAGCAAATCTTTCCCCTCAATTCCATAGCAACAACTTTTAAATGCAAACAATCTGAGCTTCCACAGCGGGGGTGGCTGGGAGAAATAACGATGACACTGTGGATCCTGTCTTCATCATTACCCTCAATTAATTTTATTGAGTGTTCACTGGGTACACATGGCAGCCTCTGATTATGGAAAGTTAGAAATGAACTAAGTACCCCAGCAGGCAATAGAGAATGGTGGCTGTGCATTTTAATTAGTGAAACTGAGCAACAGAATGACATACAAAGCAGTACAAATTATTCAATTTAAAACAGATTCGCCTTTAAAATGCTCAAAGAAACACTGCTCTCAGAATGATCCAAAAGCCATTTCTCTTCTCAATCCATGGAATTCTTTGTGCTAAAATAACAGCAGAAAGTTTACATTGGTATCCATTTGTTATGCACTTGATCTGCCCAACCACCCACTTTACAGATGTGAAGACTGAGGTTCTGAAAGGTGATTTGTTTCAAATCAGTAAGTTGCATAGCTGGCAGCAAATCAGATTTGGTGTGTTCATGCCCAGAGCGGTCTCTGTTTTGGGCACTGAACCTAAGGAAAAAGAGGGTTAGTCCATACTATAAGCTTGTTTTAACCTGAACTCTGATAATCAAACAAGTTTCTCACAGAGGAGGGACATGAATTTATGTGTATACATGTTTTGCTCTACAACAGTCTTAAATTTATAGAACAGTTGTAGAAACAGTATTAAAAACCTTCTAGTTCCTGAACTGAGGACAAGTTGCTGACATTGACCCATCATCAATAGATCCCAACAAGAATATTCTCCCACATAACTATAGTTAATCATCATACTCAAGAAATTATCCTTCATGCAGCATGAGCCTCCAGTTCTCAGGGCCTGTCAAGTTTTGCCAAGGGTGCTACTAATACCCTCACAGACACAAATCCAGAGCAGAATCCTCTGATGCCTTTGGTAGTTATGAGGCTCAAGTCTTCCCTCTGGAGCAGACTTCAGTCCTTCCTAGATTTGCATGACCTTGACAGTGAGCCCTACCCATTGTAGAATGATTCTCAATTGCCTGATATTTTCTTATGATTAAAATTTCAATTTGTCCCTTTACCAGTGATGTTTGTTTTGATCATTTAACGAATTAATTTGATGTCTCTACTGTGAGGTGACACTTTTCCTTATGTATTTAATAAATATTTTGTGGAGTGATGCTTTATGTAAAGATTCCATTCCCTGAAACTTCAATTTATACATTTACTTATTTATATTATCTGGGCACATGGTTTCCAGTTTATTCAGTGAGCTACAATCTTTTGCTATCAATATTTGTTTTGATACTCCCAGATCTGACCAGTGGAAACCTGGTGGCTCTTCAAGCTCACTTTTGTGTCTGACACTTCCCCATCATGTTTTGAGTACTTCCTTACTTTGGGGCAATAAAGATATTTTAGGCTTATCCTATACTTTCCCTGCCCCAGACCTGGAATCAGATATTTCTTCAAGGAGTCCTGGTCTCTTTTAGTAAGGAATGGTATTTAGGAACTAGGATCTGAACACCAGGAATGTTCACTGCTGCTTGGGGTTGCTGGCACAAGGCCCTTTCAGTGGATAAAGCTGGGGAGCATAATACACACAGACCCACAATAGGCCTCAAACATCTCTATTTATTTCTGGATCTATCTTCACATTATCAAAAGCCTTGGTTCACACCAATGGCTCTAAGTCCAGTCCAACATAGGAATAATTCAAATTTCCTTTTTTAAAATATATTTATGACTATATTCCACAAATTATCCTGCCTGCAGCATGGAAACATCTTGCCTCTATCTTCTGAGCATATTTAGTTATTTGTATGGAACCACACTTCTATCACTGTCCCTTTCTCCTTCCCCACCCAGAGGCTTACCTTGCCCTCTGACCTCTAGGACTGAGTCTCTACTCTTCACCCCTCACAAATTGGAGCCTCCCTTCCTGCTGAACACTGCTGAGCCACTGTTGCTACCTCCCATTCCATGTGGATCCTCCCAGATCTCACCTAAGTTCCAACACCCCCATATGCCACTATCCCCACTTTCCTACATACGTATCCTCATCTCCCCAGCCCAATCAGCAGTTCAGATGCTCTCCTTACCCTGCCATCCCCTCCCTTCCACATGGATGCCCTCAGTGTTCCATTCAGGATCTGATAACCATGTTGGAGCTAGGAACCAAAAAAACACCCTGATCCCCCACCTTAGGCTCTGATTTCCGAGGCTGAAAGGTCATGGTCTCATTCTTGTTCATTCTCTCTCTTCATTTTCATTCTCATTTTCTCTCTCTCTCTCTCTCTCTCTCTCTCTCTCTCTCTCTCTCTCTCTCTCACACACACACACACACACACACACACACAAACACACACACCTCAAATAGAAGCCTACCATGCCCTGCCTTTCCAATGACTGTTGGATAGGAGAAGGGTTTTGTTTTGTTTGTTTTAAGGGGAGAGGTATTCTATTTTGACTTGGTTTGGTTTTTTAAATAAAAAAATTCTTACCTATACTGGCCAACACCTTACAAACTAGATGGTTGTATGATCTTAGCCTTCAACACTCTAAGAGGTAGAGTCCTTGTTGGAGCAATAGCCGAGGACAGACGCATCAATTTTACAGGGTGATATCTGATCTCCCCTGTGCTTAAGTACTATCTACCCAGCCCTTCCTGAGTCATAAGATATATGTGTTCTTTCCTTTCTTTCTAGAACTGGGTGTTGAACCCAGGGGTACTGTACCACTGAGCTGCATCCCCATTCCTTTTAATTATATTTTTTTGGAGATAAGATCTCATTAGGTTGTAGAGGATGACCCGAGATTATAGGTATGCACTGCCATGTCCTGAACAAGATGTTTTTAGGAATACTAATTTCTATTGTTGTTTATTAAAAAACTGGAGGATACAAAAGAAAATATGTGAGTTAATATGCAGTTCAAAAACTGCTAAGAGTCTCTGTGCTATACAATTTTGCTAGACATCTTTCATCCTTGAATAAAAAACCTAAATGTTTGACTAAAGATAACTATAACTGAATTGATGATCAGACTCAACACAATCTCCTAATAATCTTCAAAGAGTAAGTCACTTATTTTATGACAGTCCCTGACATTTAGGCTTCTTTCAGAGTATGTATAGCGATTGAGAGAACCATTTGTACTAGATTTTTCCTTCCATTTTCTGTGACCTCTAGAATGCATTTGCTAGTGAATAAATCTAACTCAAAAGATTTACCTAGTATACACACAATTTCCACCTTTCCTGAAGGCAACAGCATTTCCCAAGGTGTGTTCCAGGAAAACACAGTGATCTCTCTGAATGCTTTTTTGCCATACAACAAAAAGGGTTTAGAATGAGCAGCACTGCTTAACAAACTTTTTTCTCTTTCTTTTTCTTTTAAATACTTTTAGTTGTAGAGGGACACAATACTTTTATTTTGTTTAGTTTTTTTTTGTTTGTTTGTTTGTTTTTTTTAGGTGGTGCTGGGGATCGAACCCAGTCCCTCATGCATGCTAGGCAAGTGCTCTACCACTGAGTCACAACCCAAGCTTAACAAACTTTTTTTCTTCTGCAGGACCTCTTAGGGCCTGCATTATGTAAATCTTAAGGAAGGAAAATATGGCTTTCACTCCTCAAACTTGATCATGCTAAACCATAGTAGTTGTTTTTTATGGAATATTTCTCAGAACTAGTATTCTATAGACAAAAGCATTTTTCTTTAACATTTAAGAATAGGATCACTTTAATTAATTAAAAAATTTAGTCCAACAAAAATAAAAACATAAAAAGTTAGTCATATGGACAAATATTCAACTTACTAACAATCAAAGAAGTGCCATTAAACAATAAGACTCTAAGCTATCAAATAAACAATGAGTTCATCAAATAACACTGATGAGAGCACTGTGACCCAGGGGCTCTTGTACCTTGCTGGTGAAGTATCCTTTATGAAAAACAGTACAATTCTTTGGGAAAGCAATTGTCAAATTCTTTCAAAAACATTATATACACTGAGCTTACACGTGTGTCTGGGGTTACCTCTTAAGGAAACAATCCAAAATGAAGAAAATGCTTTAAGCTCAAAGATGCTAATGGCTGTATTTATTATAATAGTAAAAAATTCCAAATAATTAAAATTCCCAATAAGAGAAAACTCTTTCAGTAACCAAGTACTAGCTTAAGTACTATCTACCCAGCCAATTCCGGAGTCATAAGATACACGCATTTCTTTCTAGAACTGGGTGTTGAACCCAGAGATACTGTACCACTGAGCTGCAAAGTACATGATACAATGTCATGCAGTCACCGAAAATATTTATAGTATTTTTAATAGCATGGGAAAAGGGAGCCTATTACAATAGTTTCTGCAACTAAGGGCTACAAGTCTAAACACAGCTCCAAGTGACCTTTGACATCCATGGAGCTACTTCAGCATACCATTTCTTCCAAAAGTATAGTAAGGTACACTTGAATTTTTAAAGTAATTTTCAAATCCTTAAAAAATTAGCATAAAAAACACCACAAAGCTTTATCAAAATGGGAGCGTGGGCAGCTGGGTAGGTCACCTGCCACTAAATCACATCACCTGCAAACCCCAGATTTGCAGCATGACATGAGCAATTTAAATTTGAGCCTCAGCAAAATTATACTTTAATACATGTCATGAACTTTCAGAGCTGCTTAGGAATATTAGAAATTGTGAATATTAACTCTGTGAATGCTAAGATCTATTAATTATTTCTTTAACTCAAAGAAAAAAACTAAAGAAAAAAGCCAACCCAACAAGATAGCAATATTTATTTTTGAGAAAAGAATAAGGGAAGATTAGGTGAGAAGTGATTTACTTTTCCTTCCCACTATTTTCTGAATTTCCCAAAGTTTCTCTAGTGGGCATGCATTGACTTTTTTAGAAAAGGTTCTGGTGAAATACAAGACATTTATTACTTTCATAATCATGATTTAAAATTTAGTTGTTAAAAAATAATTAATTTTTAAAAAAGGCAAATACCTGTCTTTTTGTCGTGTAATCTGCCAAGATGTTAAGTAGTTTATAAAATACCTCGAACCAGGGCAGATAGCTGGGGAAGAAGAGGAAACACAGGAAGTATTAGTATGCAGGTCAAAAATCTGAACCGAGACCTAAGTCGAGACTGATACATTTCAGATTTTCTCTATATCCCTAAGAGTCTTCCTGTCATAGACTGTCCTGAAAACACAGGCAGGCGAAATGCTAATTATTTCTGTAAGGCAGAGGATTAAATGACCATTATGAATTATTCCCATGCCTCAGAGCTAATCCCGGTTCATAGAGAAGAAATTCAAAGCAGACTCTGCAATCAGACTCCATCTCTGTGTTGCCCTAGGCCTCTCCCACCCCACCCAATGTCCCCAGGAAAGTGTCCATGCAATTTCTCATGACTGAACACATTTTTACAGCCACATACAGCACACTCACTGATGATGGCTGTAAGGTGTCCCACAGATCTTGCATGCCCCAAACTACTTGTGTTGGTACACTAGACCAACTTCTAATGAACTTACTCTATATTGACCGTAGATTTAATGTCTAATTCTCCATCCCCACTGCCTTTCCCCATGTCCTGACTATCACTTCCCTCAACTCACAAGATGGCCTGGCCTTGAAGTTCAGACCTCATTTTGGCTCTTAGAATGGTCTTTCAGAAATGCAAAAATCACACATTGGATTAAATTCTTGCAATGATGTCCATTTTTTAGGATGGCTGGGGAGGCTTTTCCTTATCAGGATTTCCCTGGACTGCCTCCCTGTCTTTCTTCCCTCTACTTGGCCCTGTGCCTATGACTCTTAGGGCAGCTTCACTCCAAGAATATCCAGGTAGCCTCAGGCCTACCTGAGTGAGCACACCTCAGTCCTCATCTCCCTCTGAACTTCGTGGTTTAGTCTAGTTGATTTCTGTTCATCTTTCTGAAAACCTTCCATTTGATGCCTGCATCTTATGCCAATTCCCTCTTTCCTGTGCTGCCCTGGTCCCCCCATGATGTAGCACTCAATGATGCACATGCCTTCCCAACAGACTAGGGCTTACTCACAGAGTAAGAAGGAAGAAGGGCATCTTTCTCCACTTTCTGTGCCAAGAATAAAGCATGGTGCATAGTTGGCACTCAGAATTTACTGAACAAATACAAGTAGATGAAGATTAAGGGCAAAGTCCCCTTGTGCTATGGAAAAGTTACCCCAGTCCCAAGAAGTTCTACCACTACTTTGAAGGGGTCTGCTATCGGTAAGGAACATTTCCAGAGTTACGTGAACAGGCACAGGAGAAGTTTCATTCCAAGTACTTGCAGCCTGCACATGTCCAGCCTGTTGAGCTAAGAGCATCCGTTACTGATAAAGCTGGACCTGAGGTACAGCACAGATGTGACATCCTGCCTGGGAGAGGGGATCAGTGCCCTGTACAGATTACCAGCTGCACTGTTGAGGGTAATAAATGAAGTGAGAAGCAATAGAGAGGACAGATAAAGTGCACAATCCCCTATCAGTGACGTTTGTCTGAAGCCAGCACATGCTACTGTAAAATTTAAGTAGCTTATCAAAATATACTGATAAGCAACTTAACTTTTCACTTCTATGACAGTATTATCACTTATGTTAATATGTTTCCATCAGCTCTGGCAGTCACATATGGACTATTACAGAGCAAATGGACGCTGCAACTTTCCACCATGCTCTGGCTGAGAAATGTAAACATTCAAGAGGGATTAAGCAGGAGATAACTTGCTCCCTTCCTCTTCTGCTAAATAAACCTCTGTGAGTTAAAAGCCATTAGAGTAGAACAAGAAATCCCCTCAGAAGTAAACTGTACAGATTAGAGAACTCTTAGTAAACAAATTCAACCAAGGATTACAAATATTTTTTTGTCCTGAAAGAAAAATACCACCAGTCAAATCCAGCAATTGGAAGTCAAGAGAGAGGAAAAAGAGTAAGAGGAGAAAATACTGGCCTCAAGTAAATGAAAGCAAAGCTGAGCTCATTTCAGTAATGCTGGATAAAGTGCAGTGGGCAGGCTGGATTCACCCCCAGTTCAGGACTGCAGTCTGTACTGGAGCACTGGGGGATAAGCAAGGTCGTCCTGCACAACTTAGGCATAGAACCTCCAGCCTCAGTGTCCCTCACCTGCTGTGAGCTAAAGGCAACATGGCAAGGACCGCCTGGCCCATGCAGACAGTCCAGCCTCTCATACTCAGCCTTCACCTCACCAAATCAATTATTTTTGGCTATAGAAGGCAGAACCACTGGCCCCAGGCAGTTTTGTAGTTTGGAAGTCATCCATTTCTTTCTCCCTTTGGCCTGACTGGACACAACTGTTCCCCACATGTTGTCCCCTGTGTGCTGACAGATGAATATCTAGTGATGGCAGTGTTAAGGTCTGAAACCAAAACCCAGCTGTCTTCTTCTTCAAAGGGCCTCTCCGTTCCCGACTGTGAGGCCAGGGTTCACAGCTGAGCCTTGTCCAGTGGGTTTCCGGTCCTGCTTCATTAGCACTGGCACCCTAGCCCCAGCTGCCTGGAGGCTGCAGGTGAGGACATGGAGACCACCCCCTCCATTCTGTGTGCATCTGTCATCAGTGAGTAAACAATACTCCTGGTCCAGAGACAGGAAACAAACACTCCATTACCCTGCACTTCCCTAGCCACCCAAAGGGCCCAACCCTCTCTGGTCTTGCTGTGCTTGCTATCTTCATACAACCTTTGTCATCCTGACTGTAGTGGACCATTGTATGGGGAGCTCAATTCAAGGCTAGGGCCAACGTGACAAACAGTAAGCCTCAAGAGGGCTGCAGTGCTCCTTGGGAAAAGGGACAGCAGAGCGTAAACGTCTGGGCAAGAGAAACTGGGAACTCTTCCCAAGTGCTTTATTAGTTTACGCTTCTGGGGGTGCTTAGAACACTATAATGTAACATTATCATGACCCCATAAATAGAGAGCAAAGTCTCTCAGGGGAGCAGCTGCTTCCCAGGCACCAGCCTAGATCCAAGCTTTCCTCACAACCATGGCTAGGTAACTTACTATCCCAGCTCTGTCCTCACTCCCAGGCCTGACAGTCAAATGCAAAGATTTTGTTCTATATGAGGCTATACAAAGCCCTAAACTTAGAAGAGCTCGGGTAGTGCCACAGGACTTCTTCCTACATGGTCTCTGAAGGGCCCTGCATCCTTAGCAGTTGTGCAGCAGCAGATTCTAGAAACAGCACTCCTATAACAAGGACTAATGGTAAGAATCACCCTGAAGTGGCCCTCAAAATATAGTGGCCACACTGGTGTAGACCCAAAACAACTGGCCTGGGTTTGGGGACAGATTGAACGAAAAGCCTCTATGCTTCATTTATGTCAGCCTGGTGAGCTACTCGGGAGTTGAACTTTCAACTGAGGATAGACAGCTCTTCTAATCTCACTCTGAAAGATGGGTGTTGTTCAGGATAATCATTTCCACTGGGGGTGTGAACATGGATGACTGACCTTTTTGTAGGAATATAATTTGTGGGATCCACTGTCATAAGTAGAGAAATCCATTCACAGATTTTAAATGTCTCCCACTTCTCTTCCTGGCAGTCCATTTCAAAGCCATTTCATGAGCCTGAGCAAGACAGAGGTATGTGGTGGCATGTGGAGGAAGACTGGCAGAGGCTGGTGAGGTTGAGGAAGAGGCCAACTGTGAGAATGATAATCTGCAGTAGGATCTCAGCACTCAAGTAAAAGAGGAGACTAACCTCCCACAAAGGCAACCTGACACAGGATTAGAGTTGGGGGGGGGGCGCACCCCACTGAGGGGTGATTTGGCATAGTGTGTTGGAGTCCAAGCAGGGTAAGGAGGGCTTCTTAATAAACAGAAAGTCAGGGCCCAAGCAGGATAAAGAAGATATCCATGTGGGGTGGCCTAACTTTAATAAGCTTAGGAAGAGCAAGGTCAGTATTTGTGTTGGGATAAAGAAAGCATATATGTGCAGTGGAGGGGCTGACGAGCAATGATATTAGAACCCAAGAAGAGCTAACAGAGCATCCATAAGACAGACCAGTGTGTCAGCAGAGCCTAACATAAAGATGGCATCCACCAAGGGTGGCCAAATAGTTGAGAAAGATGTTCATGGTAAGAAAGATGGTAAGAAGGAGTGTCAGCAGCCCTGCCTAAGGTGTTAGTCCAAACAGGGTGAAGAGGGCAACTATATGGGAAGGGGACTGCAGCAGAGGGAGACTGGTTATACATAAGAGAACAGATCAAGACTAACCAATTTGTAAAGAAATAATAAAAACTAAGAAGACTTACAAACATAGCCAGAACAAAGCAAGAATGAACATGTGTGTCAAACCAGAATTAGATGCAACTGCTCGAAATCCTGGTGTTCACTGAACAGATAGGTAGCTAGACACAGGTGGCTATAAAAGAAATACAATACATGTGTCCATATAGTTTATATATAAATATATATTGTCTAGGTTTAGCCACTGAGAAATCCTAGAAACAGAGATACTCCAATTATAATGAGAACACCTGGTGCTCAGATTCTAGTTTCTAAATACCATTCTCTACTAAAAGAAACAAGGGTTCCTTGAAGAAACACTGGCTTCCAAGGTGACAGGTAAGAGATGCCTTGTGCTAGGCTCAGCACTGATTAGGACATATCAAAAGTACACAAACACCAGTGAGGAGGAGTCCCCACTGACGAAATCTGTGACAATTTAAGCATTAAAACAAATAATGATAAAGACTATTCTAAAATAGGAAACAAGAGTAATTCAGATATAAATAAGTGAACAACTGTATGAGAGGGATGGGGTTACTTATATAGTCTCAAAATACTTCTTCACCATATATTTGTTTATTACAAAGGGACAAAGAAAGAAGAAGCATGACACTATCTTAAATCAAGTAACAGAACAAAGAAATGGTGTACCACAGGATAGAAAAAAATGGTAGAATACAGCACAGCTTCTACCACATTCCTGCCAAAGAATCAGAACCTCGTCCAGAAGGAGCATCAGGTAAGCTAAGGGGCTTTCTACAAAATAACAGCCTAGGGGCTGGGGTTGTGGCTCAGTGGGAG